ATTTTCTCTACGTGGAAAGAAAGATCATCAGGGGCTTTACTTAAATTGTAAATTTCAGGACCCCCGAGCTATCCGTTCTCCCTTGGGGAGGGGGTAAAGTTTACTATAGTTTATATAGGGAAATAACACTTTTGGGTATATTTTGACAACTTTCGGTAGGAATTTATATTTACTTGGTATATATTTTATCCATTTTCAACAGAAAATTGCTCAAACTTAGTCAGAATCATCTTGGGTAAATGAGAGTTTTACTTTGTAAAATTAGGATTCCTGCCCCATCCCCAGGGGGTAGGGCGGGGCCCCAAATGGAACATTTACCAATATTTTCAAATTCTTATCCATTGATGACATGACAAGTATTGTATTTCACTTAGTTTACATGCTGATTTCCACATCACATCTAAACAATAAAATAAAGCTACCAGTACCTATGATATAACTCAGGTGACCGCTAAGGCCCTTGGGCCTCTTGTTAATGTTGATATGAAACCCTGGGGTATTTATGTTTTTCACAAGTATATATACATATATGGTCTGCAATGAGGTTTATGAAACAAGTTTAGAAGTTTTAATTAGACCATATGCTCTGCCAAGCTAAAAGGATATCATTTAATCGTGTTACATTATAAAATGTTGTATAAAAATGGAAACAACTAATAGAAACTTTTTATGATATTACCATGAATGTATGCAAATATTTCGGCAGATTATGCTTTTCCTGCCTTTTTTATGTCCGCCTCTTTTCTCTGTAGCCATTTTTAGTGCCAAGTGAGTTTATGCCGTGGTGCGTCGTCCGTCCGTCTGTTACTTTAAACGACTTCTTCTTAATAACCGAAAGGCCTAGGGTGATGATATTTGGCCAGAAGCAAACTGGGATGAAGGGCTACCAAGTTTGTTCAAATAAATGACCTTCACCTATTTTCAAGGTCACAGGGGTCAAATATGTTAAAAACTTTAAACAACGTCTTCTGAATAACCGAAATTCCCAGGGTGATGATATTTGGCCAGTAGCTTGCTGGGATGAAGGGCTACCAAGCTTGTTCAAATGAATGACCTTGACCAATTTTCAAGGTCACGTGGGTCAAATGTGTTAAAATTTTCAAACGACTTCTTCTCAATTACCAAAAGGCCCAGGGTACTGATATTGGGCCTGTAGCATGCTTGGATGAAAGGCTACCAAGTTTGTTCAAATGAATGACCTTGACCAACTTTCAAGGTCACAAGGGTCAAATGTCTTAAAATTTTCAAACCACTTCTTATCAATTACCAAAAGGTCCAGAGTACTGAAATTGGGCCTGTAGCATCCTGGGACTACCAAGTTTGTTCAAATGAATGACCTTGACCCACTTTCAACCTAATGTCCTTGTTCGACATTCATGGTCACAGGTGTCATATATTTAAATTTTTTAATATGTTCTTATGAATCAAACACTGATATTCTGCATGTAGCTGTATTTTAGTCCACTTGCATGATTACAAGTGTGAGATTAATACCAGGTGAGCGATGCAGGCCCATTGGGCCTCTTGTTACTTAATGGACTCCGTTGTCTTCTCTATGACATCACAGTGCCATTATAAGTTATCTCCGGATTAGAAGGGGTCTACAGGCTCATAGACCCCGTCTGGTCTTTATAGACCCAAAGCCAAAGGCTTGTTGTCATCATGTCTGTTGTCTTTATTCTCCATTGACAATATGGTTAATATTACAAGAGACTTGCACTGAGGTTTAACATATGCATATTCACAGCAATATGAGAATATTCATCGCTTTTGATGGATATTTGTAGACAGTTGTAAGATTTTGTTGTTGTATATTTACAGTGTAGCCAAAATGTTTATGGATTGTGCCCTGGATGACAGTACATTGGGAATGTACAGAAATTGCTCAAAATCACAAGTACTGGATATGCTGAAAAAAGAATATCCATGGATCAACAGCCAGCGGACTGATTTCAACCTTAGCATGTGCATGAGTAAGTATGTTAACAACTGTCATGGATTGATATAAATATAAACTTTATTCATTTTACAACAATTATGAAACAAGTTATTTCCACTTACATACATGTTGGCCTGTATGTTAGCCCGTAGGGGGATCTTAATGTGGTAATTAATAATGGAGTACCTACCCAAAGACAACCCACATGATCGGGCAGGTGACCCCATACCTTTTCATGTCTGAATGGAGAATTGAACCCCTGTCGCCTTGGTAAAAGGCAAGTGCACTATCCACTGCGCCACACGACCATCTATTGATATACCAAGACTGACTCCTTTCTCAGACATTTAAAATGAAAAGTTAATGTTGAGAAACTAGGAGGCAAATGTTGCTAGATATGATATTGCCCTCCTCATATTTTGTGAACATGATGCACACTGTTGTTGAGTTGCTGTAACTTGTTGTCAGCTGTGGTCCTCAAACTTGATATTTTATCAATTTGCTTGTTGAGTACAACTGTAGTTTTCTTGATTTGTTTTAGTTATTTTTTTTGTATGTTGGTTCCAAAAATGTATCAAAAAAACTGAGTAGAATTCAGTATGTCTAAATGGATTCTGCATGGCGCATGACTGACATATAATGTTCCGTGGTACCCTTTGTTCATGATCCACATCTTTTAAAAAAGTTTTCTCTTTCTGTGTCCTGCATACACTTGTAGGTATCAAGATCCTGGCTAATTTTAGGGTCCAAATTATATAATCAGCATCCAATTCAGTAATGTATATGCATAAAATATCCCTGCTCACCCTGGTAAACTATTCCTGGCAGTCTTGGTTATTCTTTGCAGAAAGAGGGCCATCATAATTTTGTTCAATAATAATGTTTTTTTGGAAGAAATAAAGAAAATGTTGCGCAAAATGGATTCAATCTCGGTTTGCATATTTTTGCACAAACTTGCTGACCTCTTGACCATGCCTTTGCTGCTTTGCTATAATTAAGAACCTTGACCTGTGCAATGTTCGTCCGTAAAAGACCATATAGCTGTTAATTCCATGTTTGTGTATTGCAGAGTTATCTTCTCTTGAGAGCAGGTATTGATTGTTACGTCATTGGTTTAAGTGAGAAAATTACGTTGTTTTCTCAAAAATTGATGACGTTACTCTCACAAACAAATGACGTAACAATCAATACCGGCTCTCAAGAGAAGATAACTCTGCAATACGCAAAGACGGAATAGGATGTTAAACAATACTAAACCAAACCAAACCAAACTGTGCAATATGTGAATATTGATCTTGCCGGTGTGAAGCTCTGTATTCCCAATGTTGAACAGGCCAATGTAAGAAAAGTGATGCAATTACATATCTTAAACCTGGTTTTGATGGCTGTAGATTTTATGCATCTGGTACCAGTTGATGTTATGTACTTTGCAGTTCCCTGCTTGGTACGGTGTCCCACTATTGTGTCTATAAGGTCCCACACAATTAACACATTTTGCGAATCAGTGCTGAATGAAATTAACTTGTATAGTCACTGCATGTACAAATTATTATGTTACCCTTCCAGATACTACAGACAAGCCTACAGACAAGCCTGGTCAGTGTCCCTATCTGGCCCCTGGTACATTTGGAACATGTAATTACGAGTGTTCAGATGACATGGCCTGTTCAGGAAACAAGAAGTGTTGCTCTAATGGCTGTGGGATGACCTGTCAAGATCCAGGTAATCGCTTTCACACATAGAAGTTACTGTTAATTAGGCCCAGTTACACTGTCATGAGTTTGGGTCACAAGGTCTTCAGGTCTCAGGTAGGACTCTAACACATATCTGTGCACGTCAAAGAGAAGTCTCTTCAGGTTGCTAGTTCTTTGCAAACAGCGGCTAGAATTTCAAATGGTTTAAACTTGTTGTGCGAGTTTATCACGTACACATTTTAATTTGAAGACATGTTGATGGGATGTCACAACTCATCCAGAATTCTTAAAATTGGTGCCAGAACTCGACTTGACTCGCATAAACTCGTACATCTTGTGCAAAGACATTCACTTGTTGGAAAAGTTATTTTTAATACATACTTTTGTTCTGAAATTGTAATATGTGCAACAGTGCTTTAGGATGGGGAAGAAGGTGTACACCAGCGTTACCTTAATGTGGATGCACAAAAGGAAGTGATGTGATTTGGATCAATATTTTGAAAGCTTATGGTAAATACAACAGGTCTTCTGTTAATTACTTTTCCTTGAACAAGATTTATAAGGTTACCTGACCATAGGTCATGGTAACCTATTGTGATAGCCTTTTGTCCGCCTTTGTGCGTTGTGCGTTTCCTTTTCCTTGTGAACACGATAACTTCAGTAAATGTTAAAACGTGTTTGATAACACTTTGTATGCAGCATTATATCAATAAGATCTCAGACAGGTTCGAAAATGGGAATTATTCGACAGTAACTTAAAAGAGTTATTGCCCTTTGTAATAATATTATTATTGGACCTTGTGAACACGAGAACTTGAGTAAATGTTAACCGAGTTTGATGAAACTTTGTATGCAGCCATATATTAATAAGATCCGGGACGAGTTCGAAAATGGGAATTATTCGACTGTAACTTACAGAGTTATTGCCCTTTATAATAATATTATTATTGGACCTTGTGAACACGAGAACTTGAGTAAATGTTAACCGAGTTTGATAAAACTTTGTATGCAGCCATATATTAATAAGATCCGGGACGAGTTCGAAAATGGGAATTAATCGACTGTAACTTACAGAGTTATTGCCCTTTATAATAATATTATTATTGGACCTTGTGAACACGAGAACTTGAGTAAATGTTAACCGAGTTTGATGAAACTTTGTATGCAGCCATATATCAATAAGATCCTGGACTCTAAATGGGAATTATTCAACAGGAACTTACAGAGTTATTGCCCTTTGTAATAATATTATTATTGTACCTTGTGAACACAAGAACTTAAGTAATTATCAACCAAGTTTGATGAAACGTTATATGCAGCCTTATTATATCTATAAGATCTCGGATGAGTTGGAAAATGGGAATTATTCGTCAGTAAATTACAGAGTTATTGCCCTTTGTAATAATATTATTGCACTTTTTTGTATTGGACCTTGTGTCCACGATAACTTGAGTAAATATCAACCAAGTTTAAGGAAACTCTGTATGTAGCCTTATACATGTATCAATAAGATCTCGAATGAGTTCGAAACTGGGAATTATTTCACAGTAACTTACAGAGTTATTGCCCTTTGTAATAATATTATTATTGTACCCTGTCAACACGATAACTTGAATAAATGTTGATGGAGTTCAATGAAACTTTGTCCGGTAATTATTTGACAGTAACCTGCAGAGTTATTTCCCTTTGTCATTATATTATTATTTGTCCCTGTGATGTTGATTGACATTACACAAGAATAGATGTAAAATCATGCGGTACACGTTATTTTCATTCATGACACATTTTTGCTACTAACAAGGTGCTATTAGAATTTTGTGCCTTATTTAATAAATCATTGATTTACGCTTTTACTTGTTTCTTTTAACCATAAACAGAAGACATACAGTTACCAAGTTTGTTCAAAACAGACTCATTGGGTCAAAATTGGAGTCACACCCATTTATTTCAGTTATCGTTTTCACAGGGTCCAACAATAATAGAATTACCAAGGGAAAAACTATGAAAGTTATGGTCAAATTGGTCCGGTATTCAAACTCATCCAAGATCTCATTGATAAAAAGCTGCATACAAAGTTTCATCAAAATCGGTTCATATTTACTGAAGTTATTGTGTTCACAAGGAAAAATTAATGGACGATACAGCAAGGTCACTTGGACCGACGAAAAGTATGAATTGGCCCCTGGATGACAGTCCTAATTTGGGCATGGGCCTCTTGTTCCATCTATTGGTTGTTCTAGTATATTCAATTGGAACTAGCATGCATGGAAGAAAGTATGTTCTTAACCACAACAGAAACTCAGGTAATTTTACAATTATTGTTCCAGAACCCAGAGATGTATGTTCTGAGCCGGAATTTTTGACACCATTGTTTACAAGCTGTTTCAATGGATCTTCACAAGTGACATCATTACAGTATGCTTTGGGCAGTTTCAATTACCTCCCTAAAGTACAAACATTGTTGACAAAAGTAAATGATGAGACCTGTAGGTGAGTGAACTGAGAAATTTGTTTAATTGTGTTGATAATAATTGTTTTATCCACCTTAAGTTTATATTTAACTTTCTTAAAAATGTCCACTTAAATCATGGTAAATATCAGACATATTCCAGCATCTATTTTTTAGCTCACCTGGCACGAAGTGCCAAGTGAGCTTATGCC